TTCAAATGATTTGCTATTATCGAATCCAACAATTTAGGTATTATGCATTGCAGTGCTACTCCACGATAGTTCTCAATTTTGTATTTAGCTCCACTTTTGTGTACTGGCCTCACATAAGAGCGCTTCCATATGTTTGGTACATATCCAGAATTCAAAGATTCTCGTAGTATGTGTGTTATTGGCTTCAGCAATGTGTGAATGCAGTTTTTGATGAACATATTTGGTATTCCATCGGGGCCAGACACCAAGTTGCTTGGCAATTCATTGATTTTCTCCATAACCAACTCCTCAGTAATATCAATGCGTGGAAAATTTGCACAGCGGTTGAATAATATCGGATCATTTTCATCATAATTAGCTTCGGAGCCATCAATCGTTTGTGTGTATGCTTTTCCAAAGTGTGTCGCAAATGAGTTAGTAATTTCAGATGGGTCGGTGAATTTTTTGTCATCATATTCCATTTCACTCGGAAAATCATTTTTGGTATTATTGCACGTTCTCACATACTCAAAGAATTTTTGTGGATCTTCATTTATCAATTGTTCCATTTCGAGTTTATAGTTCCTAAAAGCAGAACGAGATTTTTTTTATACTCACGACGCAGCTCGGTATGATCCTTACTCTCATTGGTAGAATCAAACTTCTTTATTTTGTGCAATGTATTGACTCTGTTCTTCAAATTGATCAGTTCACCATTAAACCACTTCGGATGAATTTGTGGTCTCCTCGTTCTTGTTTCAACAGTCGTATCGATTGCATTGTTGACTATTGAATAAAACTGATCAACGGCACTGGTTAAGTCAATTTCATTGAAAACGTTGTTCCAGTTGGCATCATCAAAATAATCATTGATTGTTGAATAGTCGGCATTCTTGAAGTCTTTGTATGTGACTTTATTATCAGTTTCAACATCAACTTTATCATGTATGATTACTTCAAGTGCCTGATGATGTTTTTCGTCTTTTACCATTTTGCTTTCACTCTTGCTACATGTGAACATGTTGGGCTCATTGGTCCATAGCAAGTCCAACATCCGCTTATTTTTATTGCGGTGCGGGCATATTTGCATCAATCCCAGTTCGTGACACGTATCAATGACGATTTTCTCTTTTTCACTCACGACATTGATAGCAACAGCTATCTCTGGATTTGGACCCAAATTGATATCAGGATCATGAGCATCATTTGCTCTGCATGTATACCAGATCAGGTTACTGAGGTTGAAGTCACCTGACACAAGCAATACATCGTTTTCATTGGCTTTCGATGCTATTTCACGCAATGCAGTCATGTGGGCTTTATATACGTCTAGCGGCGAATCAGGTCTGATGTAGATTTGGATTAATATCAAATCTCTGCCATTGCATCTTATTTTGGCCCATACTTGTTCGGCACCCATGTGTTCGGCAGTACCAATGCAATGCGGTTTGAGGGATTTGTCTATTGCGATTAATACTCCGCCCCAACTCTTCTTCTTGATTCTTTGAAATCGTTCAGTATCAGGAGATCTGTCACAACGGAAGACATCAAAATACGGTGGGAAAATTTCAGATGAAGAAATATCTGCGTTGAGGTGCGTTTCGCTCAACATGTAGATTTTAATATTTGATGCCAAGACTAGAGTTAGTAAATTGATTGCTTTCTCACTATCTTTCACTCCGTTTACATTGTTACAGTACATCACAGCATCATCGAGCATTGGATGGTGAACATTTAGTTTTGGTACTGAACATTGAGTTCAGTAGAATTATCTATTACCGATTTATTTACATTGTACTGTTTGTGCGATGAATTATGCATGCGTGTGTGAAGATAATTTATTAAAAGGAGACTTTTCGGTATTCAAATTGGTAAAAAAAAATTCTGATCATTTTAAATATTTTTCGGATCATTTTCGAAATTTGAGGATCAAAATTAAATGAGCCATTTCTGTGTCAATTTTTGATTATTTGTCGCTTTTATTTCTGTTCAGTTTGACGAAAAAATCAGAAATAAATGTAACAAAACAATCAATAAAATTAACATTATAACCATTTTGTCAGATTTATTTTCTAATTTGACAATTCTATTGCCTATATTGTCAAAATTATTTTCTCAATCTGGCAATTTCATTGAACGTAATGTTAATTTTATTGTTTGTTTTGTTACATATATTTCGATTTGTTGTCAATTTTGTTGAATTTTTTTGTCAATTTTATTGCCGTTTTGTCATTTTTATTGGCGATTTGTAAATTTTAAAGGAGGATCCGTAATGAGCCCAATGCAAAACATCTTTATTGGGCCCAACAATTTTCATAGCAACGAAAAATTTAAAAAATATCCACTGGCAAAAATTTTGACTTTGAACTTTAATTAAAGTTTGAGCACTTGGAATCAGCATGAGGGTTGATAATGAAAGGTCTTGACGTCCTCTAATTTGCGTCCTTGACCACAAAATTCGTGTTCTCACCCAGAGCGAGCACAAATTCAACATAGATTAATTCGGTAAGATTAGATGCAGTAGATCTGTACATCATGAAGCCGTGTTGCTTTTTGGTGATTTCGTCCTGTACCAGTGACAGAAGTTTGACGTTCACCATGTGCTCAGAGAACTTCGCCAAAGTTTGGAGCTTAGCAATGCAACGGTAGTTCTCTATCTTCGATCTGGCCCCCTTTTTGAAGATGGGTGATACACTCGAGCGCTTCCATTTGTCGTGGAAATGGCCAGTCGACAATGATTCATTGAAGATCTCGGTGAGTGGAGCCGCCAGATGACTCGCATAATTCTTTAGTATCAACGGGTGCATACCATCGGGACCTGTACCTTTCTTGGTGTTCACGGCTTGTAGCTCTTCAAGCACAAAATTGATGTCGAGCTGAAATTCCTCAGTTTGCTGTGACTCAAAATTACTGCAAAAACCTGTTAATGCGAAAAAAATTCAGGGGCTCTTTATTTTACAAAAAAATCACGTCTCATTATTCCGCTTCAAATGTTTTACTGAAGAAAAACACAAACTGATTTCATTTCGTACCATATTTGAACCATTGCGACAAACAAATTCACTCAGAAGATTTTAGTTTTAAAGTGCAACATATCCCGGTTTTCCCGGCGAGACGGGAAGCCTACCCATTTCTCTTGAACAGCTATCGAAAAATTGAAAATTCAGTACAAATTTGTTGGTATTTCTTAGGGAATTTTTTTCTGAAATTTCTGTTCTCATTCGCTGCTCGATCCTAACAACTTGAAATCTTTTTATTGGTCGAAAAATCGGCCACTGATAATGGGTTAACCTTCTGACTGTGTTTGGTGACATTTTTGTCACTTTCATTATAAAAAGGAGACAAAAATGTCACATGTGTTTTCTAATCAATAAAATCATTACTTCATATGTTTTTTTTCTGTTTTTACACTTGTACATTAACTTTGGAGTCTTGAACTCAAAAAGCAAAAAGTTGAAGGAGAGATATATCATGTATTTTCGGGTTTTTTCTGACACATGCAAATACATCTCGATGACGAGTAGAAAAATCACCAAATCAGAATTCAGTTGACTGTCAAACGCAGCCACTACACATAGAACTTTCGGATGGTTCAAAGAATAGATTGTAGTGTTATTTGATATAAATAAATGCATAAATAATGAAGATAATATTGTATTCAATCAAATATCATATAAATTCAAAGCAAAATATTGAAAAAATGTTATTTTTCTTTTATACATATACGTAGGTGATAAAAATGTCACTAAACACGGCCCTTGTTCTATTTACCCAAACACAGTCAGAAGGTTAAAGATAGGTGTTTGTTTACTTCGGATGGAATCGTAGTCATTTCAAATGTTTGAATTTTACAGCTGGGTAGCGTTCCGAAAATATAAATCCCAAATAGACAGTTTGTTGCTTAGAAAAGTGTGAATATTGATTGCAATCGGCAGCGTGTAAACTGTGTGAACTATCATTATTTCTGTATTCCTGTTTTGGAAGATTGGTCAAATATATTGTTCGATTGATGTGACGCAATTTCTTGCATGTAATTGCAACAAACTGGCACCGAGTTTGTTCTAAGAATAGCAAAGCAGCTTATGAGCTATGATAAATGATTAGAGAAGCTTTTCGATGGCATGTGCTCAAATAATTGATGCAAGCATAAACTAACGATGATGAACAGCATTTGTTTCGGTAGTGTAAATAACAATCGATGTATTATTGTTTGTTGAATTTTTAACTACCATAAATTGACGCTATATATTCTGCTGTTTATATTGCAGATATGCACTTTTATTGAATGATATTGAAAACACTCACATGTTTAACAAAGAAATTGGTTTCAAGAGATGTGTGCGTTCGTCCAATTCTCGCTTGTTCATTTTATGCAGATTTTTCATAATCAAAAATTTTATATAAAATTTAGTAATACGCTTCAATTTAAATTGAATCATTGTAAAACTCATTCGATTTTTTAAATAAAGCCATGATACATTTAACCGTGGATTTCATTAAGCAACTGTAGCCTATAGGCCAATTAAGAGCCATATAATACCATCATTGTTATTATTCTTCCCTCTTGCAAATTTTGATAAAAATTACTTGGTTTCTTCATTACATCTAATTAATTAGTTAATATTAATAAATAAATAAATAATTTTGTGAGTATGACTAAGCTAAGAGCAGTGGAATCATTTGATAGGAAATTGAATAACCCAAATACTATAGCAAAATGTTAAGTATAATATGACATTAATGTAACTTACGCAAGCAAATTGGACTAGCTGCCTTTGGATTGCATTCATGGTCTCTACTGTGGCGATGTCGAACACAAAAATTTATCTTGCAACATTCGTTATTATCAAAAAAAGTCAACAAGTCAAAAAAATCATCACAAAATCAGGATTCCGAGGGAAGAATTTGATTTGTCGTTAATGAAAGAATAATAATATAGATTTGAATATTGCTAGCAGCGCCATCCAACGATGAAATCTTGTTGAGTTCTTTATCAATGACATTTTTACTTCATTTAAAAATAGCATGTCAACGCGCGGGGAATGCATGCGATTGTATGCGTTTGAATTTACAACAAACCAAATTAGTACTGCATCATAAGTTTGACATATAAAACATCTGAATAGTTGTTGAAGAATTTGAAGTCTCATAAAAGTTGAATTTGATTCGAAATATCGGTAAAATCCAGAAGAAACACCCATAAATTTCAATGTCTACACCACTGAAATTGCCAGGAACGGGTTTGGAAGATGTCCGTATCCCTGGACAAACATTTTTGAGAGATGCACTCACTTCGTGCACTGATCCACTAAAAGCTATAGAAACTTTCCAGGTATTAATAAACTGAATATTTCATTATACAAAAGGTGTTTTTATGCATCAAAAAATATTATTTTCAATCAATTAGGTTGAAAATGGCATACTTTTGCCATCACTACGGCCCATGTTGCCGCTTCTGGATTTGCATGGCGTCCGGCGCCTGGATTTTCACACCTCGGTGTTGGAGGAATTGCGTGAAAAGTTGGTTGCTCGCATCAATGAACTAGGCGGTAAAGAGGGACGTGAACGCGACAAGAAGCTTAAAGAGCTGTTGACAAAAAGTTTTCCGGTTGTTCGAGTAAAATCTTTAAGACCGGTAGTGATGGGAATTTTACGTAATACAGCGCAAATTGATGACAAATATTTGCGAATTTTAGTTAGAGATAAAGAACTCTATATGGATACCGATACTGAAGTAAAGCGTCAGATATGGCGCGACAACCAGAGTTTGTTTGGCGATGAAGTTTCTCCCCTTTTATCGCAATATATACGAGAGAAAGAACACATTCTGTTTGACCACACAAATCTGACAAATTTATTTTTCTTGCCTTCACCAAAAGTAAGGCGCCAGGGTGAAGTTGTGCAGAAGCTAGCTAATATGATCGGCACAAGTGTAAAATTGTATGATATGGTCTTGCAGTTTTTGCGCACTCTGTTTTTACGTACCAGAAATGTACACTATTGCACATTACGGGCGGAACTGCTAATGGCACTCCATGACTTGGAAGTCCAGGAAATTATTTCGGTTGATCCATGTCATAAGTTCACTTGGTGTTTAGATGCTTGTATAAGAGAGAAGAACGTTGATATTAAAAGATCACGAGAGCTTCAAGGATTTCTTGACAATATCAAACGAGGACAGGAACAAGTTCTGGGAGATTTATCAATGACTTTGTGTGACCCATATGCCATCAACTTTTTGGCCACCTCAGCTATCAAAATTCTTCAGCATTTAATCAATAATGATGGTTTACCTCGTGATAATACCATCCTAATTCTGTTGCTTCGTATGCTGGCACTTGGATTGAGCGCTTGGGTGATGATTGATTCACAAGACTTCAAAGAACCAAAGCTTGAAAATCAAATTATTATCAAGTATTTGCCGGCATTGATGTCTCTCATGGTTGATGATCAAGTGCGTCATCTACATTCCCGATTGCCACCCGATGAACGTGAAAGTGCTATTACAATTATTGAGCATTCAGGTTTGGAGCTTGACTTCTCTCATAGATTTTTATATTTTTGGATTTCAATGTGTTCATCAAAATTAAGTAAGCTAACAACAATAATGATATATTCGTATTTGATATTCATTTTAATAGGTCCCGCTCCCGATTCAGTAGAATCATTTATTCAAGAGAGTAGTGTTGCTTCAATCATCGCCATGTATTACACCTTGCATACTGCCCGACAAAAGGATCGTGTAGGAATCTTGCGTATCTTGGCTGTTTTAGCATCATGCAAGAATGATCGAGCCTACGAAGATCCATTTTTGCATTCCCTGGTTTGTTAAACCTTATTTCATCACAATTTGATAATTAATAACTTTTAAAGGACAAATGAGTGGTCGGGAATAAAAATTACTTAAGTTGAACCACTTTTGGATAACCGTAACACAATATTCTTGATTTTTAAAAGTGCAACATAAATTCTCTTCGCTTGAAAGTGAATCGTAAAATATCTGTGGACTATAGAAATCGTATTTTACTTTAATTGAAGCAAAAATGTTCGATACACTTTCAAGTCCATTGGAATGATGATTCATTTTAATGGTGGTTTTAGTTGTGATTTGGCTTCGGAGTAAAAATTAAGTGATAAGGAGCGCGAATTTCGATGTGCCGATAACACCATTGGATTGGGCACATGAAATACTGTATGAGAATCGAAATTTTTTAAACTTTTTTTCGATTATTGCCTGTTTCGGATCGTCTACATGGGAAGTTTGTATGGAATCCTCGGAGAGCGGGTCTGCGTCGCTGTAATTAAATTAGTTTATATGGTAAACAAGCTGTTGTGTTACGAACAACAATAAACACGATTTCTATAGTCAATAGATATTTCATGATTCACTTTCAAACGAACAGAATTTATGTTGCACTTTAAAAAAGCAAGAATATTGTGTTACGCTTATCCATAAGTGGTTCAACTTTAGTCATTTTTATTCCCGACCACTCAAATGTTATATTTATAAGCGCTCTATCTTTTATTTATTGATTGTCTTAAATTCTAGATTGCGCTACTTATTCCGATGGCAGAAGAATTTGTACACGAGGAATTCTGCACTGGACTCTTTGATGAGTTCTTATTTGCTGGTCTAACTCGAGATAACGTTACCAGGCACATGTTGAAACTTTTATGGTATATACATCCAAAGCTCCCACCTGGTCGCCTGACTACATTGATGAAAGCTCTTCAACCAACGGCGCAGCACAATGAATTGTATAATAGTTTATACAATAGTTTACAAGAACGAATTGGAGTTGCAATCCAAGAATCAGCCGCTCAAGAGATAACAGATGTGGATTTTGATTCACCCTTAAAAAGCGTCCCAACGCCTGGACCACATTACATGCAATAAAACCATTTAAATTTTAAAGCAAAAAAAAATTCGAAATGACCACAAAATAATCTGACTACCCAAGAAACGCAATTTAGTCATTTTTAACGTTAAAAGATATAACGTTTTAAGTCTTTTTTTCCGTCAAAATCGACTGAAATTCCAGTGTAAACCAACTGTATGAATATTCGGAACGCTACCCAGTATCTTTCAAATTCAAACATTTGAAATGACAACCGTTCCAACTACTACTCTGTGCCGAACAAACTGAATAAACAAACATCTTACAAGAATTGTGTATGTGTTTCATTTTGGGCGCGTGAATTAGAAAGAAAGAGCAGAACCGACACATCTCTTCCATTTCACACAACGCAACGCAACACAACACAACAGACTCATTTGCTACTGTGGCTTGGTGTTGTATTTGTTTATTTTGGTTCCGTTATGAGATTATTACTTTTCCGCAAACTTTATTTGTTAGGTAAAGTATTGGTTTTACTAGCCAAAATTTCATGACATATCCTCTTTTGGACCACTATAACGTCGCGCCAAACTTCAAAAAGCACATATCTGTACACTAGGCAATGTAGATGGGATCAAATCCTATCGATCAAGACCTATTTGCCCCCAAAAACATGTTGTTTACTATGAAAAATGTGTAAAATTGCGATGTGCGTATGGCGTCGTTCGCGTTCGCGTTCGCGTTTTTTGTTCGCCGGATATCTCAAAAAGTTGACAAGATAATTGAGATCTGTAAGAACCAAAAGTTTTGGCGTGTCAAAATAAAGCTTCGGATTGATTTTGAGCCTATTCTGATTTACCAATTTCGTACCATAAGCCTCCGACTGATGACCTGAAAACGCTTGTAAAATGACACTTTTGTATGAAAAATCGCCATTTTTCAGGGTGTTGGTCAAGGCAAACTTACATTTTTTTGCAAAAATATTGGGAGTCTGTAACAACCGAATACCAAATAAATTTGCCCTGAAATTTTCTCCGAAAAAAACACTTTCGTATGAAAAATCACTCAGAAAGCCATTTTTTAGAGTTTCGGTCAAAGCAAACTGATGTTAATTTGCAAAAATAATGGGAACCTTCGAACAACCTACTTGCCCATTAATTTGGTCCAAAACCGATATTTTTGGAAATTTTTGAAATTCTGTTCGAAATTTTACCTTCAAGCGCGTATTGCACCACAAAGATCTCGGCGTCATCATCGACCAGAAGCTCAGCTTTGTCAAGCACATTGACGCGATTACTTCGAAAGCTACAGCAGCCTTGGGATTCATCAAAAGATTTTGTTACGACATAACCGACGTTCAAACGCTCAAAACACTATACTACGCACTGGTTCAGTCTCATCTTGAGTACTGCAACGTTGTATGGCTGCCAACTTATGCCATACATATCGACAAATTCACCCAGTTCACCCGAAGAGAATACCGTACAGCGGCCAACGGCTACAGTATCACCGCCAACAACAAACGACTTGAGGCGTTGAACATGACATCGTTGGAGCGTAGAAGAGTGAATGCATCTATTGTATTCATGTACGACATCGTGAATGGGATCGCAAATTGTCCCAATGTACGTAACGACATAGCAATTGGAGAGAGCGTACGTATCTTACGGCACCAGACTACCTAAAGATTAAAGATAAGCTCATGGACGAACAAATCAGAGCTCAAGTGCCTCAAATGTGCAAGTTTGCAAACAAAGTGGCAGATCAATTCAACAACTCAAGCAGCCGTGCAAACTTTATCTCGTCGGTACGCAGCGAAGAAAACCTAAAGTTTAATACAAAATATTGACGAATTGTTATCTTACATCCCTACAAAATGTATAGAAATAATGATATTTATCCGTGATTTTTACACAAACTTTAAAATAAGTAGCAATATTAACTGTGATATAGCCATCCATTGAGTTGGTGATCAACTTTTGACCTGCCATTAATTTATAATTTATAATGGAAACTACCGTTTATGTTAATGTATTTGCAAGTATTGTAAATTTGTTCTTATGTCTTTCGGTCTCTACTAAATTACAAATTCATAACTACCAACAGGGACTTGTTAGATTAGACGTAAAACTTTTCTTCAATGTATCACCTCTGGATAAATTGAATGATGACTTTTGCAGTCATTAGGGCCGTCACTACAGTGTTAACGCTTCAGTTGGTCTTTCATTTTTTACACGTTTGAGTAAGGCTATATTGGACCGTTTACATTTCGGCTACCTATGCATTTCCATGTATTGATTAGGTTATCTTGTGTCAATGCTTTTTAGACCAAATTGTTATACCAATCGAGAAAGACTATTACAACTATTTATTGTATAAATTTACCATATATTGTACAAACACAAAAAGATCAGGTTTTTCACGACTCTTGGAGTCGTTTTCCTGCAAACCAAAATATTCAGCCAGTTTTTGGTCAAAATAGTTATTTTTCAAGCTCAGAAGTGCTTTGAAAAGAGTTTTAATTGAAATTTTGGTTGAGTATTAAGTGGGAGGTAAACCAAATTGCCGCGGAGCGAAAAGTTTGGATTACGTTTGTAATTCGTTTTATATTTCGCATGAGTTTCTGCATCGACACCACTTAAATATGAATTTCATCACAAAGTGGAATTTGGCGCGTTGAAGAGAGTTGTCACATACACACAGTGTGCAGATTCGTGTGTGCGCTATTTATGTCGACACAAATTGATGTGTCAAACTGATGCCGGTTGCACATGCACATTCATATTGATCTGAGCATTTGAAAAGGCAAGTCATTTGTTGTGAATACTGTTCGATTTACAGTGATTGTTTTTTTTTCTCATTTTCTTCATAAAATTGGCCAAACTGACCAAATTTGTATGGGAGGTACCCTTAAATCGCTTTCGATTGGCTTCAAAATTTCATGAATTAAGTTTTTTGGTAAAAAAAATAAGATTCAGAAAGTTTCATGACATTTGGAATATCACAAATGGGATTTCTATTGGGATTTTACTTTCATGGTTTCATAAAAAACTCATTTACCTATCTAAATCTTGTGCTGACCTGAAATTCCCATAAACAAGCCACAGATATGGCTTTCGGCGCTTGATTTGAAGCTGGCTAGAAGTTTTTGATGGGCAGACTGTCAAAAAACGAGATTTCCCAAAAAAATTCACCATTATGTGAAAGTGAAATACTGAGGGTTTCCGTAAACTGATATTCTTGCCTATTTGAACCCAAAAATGGTCAAAAGTGCTTGATTTTTATTACTGATTTAGATTTTTCGAACCATTTTCCACAACTTTTGCCTTATTTGACTCACTGTTTAACGTGAAAAATTCTTAAATCCCGCATTTGAAAATTAAATGTTGAGAATATACGAAAAATGATATTTTTGCATATTTGGACTCAAAAAACATACAAAGTGGTTGGGTTTTTTACTGATTTAGAATTTTTCGGTCATTTCCAACAATTTTTGACTTATTTGCAACATGGTTTTGCGTGAAAAATGCTTAAATCCCGCACTTGAAAGTTAAATCTTTAGGATTTAACGAAATTCGGGAAAATCATGATTTCAAGGCCCCATAAGGCTTATCGGGTGTACTCAAAAGACCAGTTTTTCTTGTTTTCGCCCAAATTTTACGTCCTACCCAATCAGCTTTCATTTTTTGGCTGTTTTCGCAAAGTTGAAAATTAAATTTTTGGATTTAATTAAATCCGAACCACTTACAACGGGCATAAGAGACCAGAAGTACCCATGTATGTAAGCAAATGATTTATTTTATAATTTGAATTGCATTTTCAACTTGCGATGAACGGTTTTGTAGTTTTCGTTCAACTGAAAAATCTCATTTTTCGTCACATTGAATTTGATTAAATAATTTTTTTGGTTTTTGTCAATCATTTTGAAATTTTTTTGAGTCTTTTCTGTGATAAGACTTCTATTTATCCAAAACCGACGTGTTCAATTATTGTTTTACAAAACAGTATCACCATGGGAACGGTAAGCGCCTAAGCTATTGGGCCAAGCAAAAATGTAAATATTATTGACCGTAATAAGAAACGGGGACGTTAGTGTCGATATTTTCAGTTGGAATAAAAACAATTCGTTGAAATGTTTGATGGATTTTATTTCATAAAGAAATTTTACAAAAACTCATCTAAAATAGTGGATTTTATTTAATTGGCGTTAAAAAATATTTCTTCTTAAAAAAAAAACAATGGAATATTGTCCAATAAAGGAGATAGAGTAGGTTTCACATATTTTTCGGGTGGACATTTTTGGAATGCTTGGGCACACACATTCTGGACAGCATTTTTTTGGAAATTCAGTTTCAATATCAATTGAAAAGGTTAAAATATAGTACAATTACATTGACTTAATACTTTGAATTGCACATCTTTGTGCTAGCTCATGAGAATCGAATATTCAATCTTAGTTCTAATAGCTGTTTGTGGGCATATGCATTATCTCAGCCCAATAATTACAATCACAATGTTTTCTTAACCAGATCCCAGCTGCTGTTTGCATCATTCGAACATAAACCTAATTGAACTATAGCACCAGCTTTCGGTTGTTCGACATATAAACACGTGCCGGCTGCTAAATTGTAAATTGGTGTTTGATTCTGCAAAAAAGAGGGACAATTATTTCGAATGTCATCGCTCAAATGAAAGTCAATGGTGATTTACCGTATTTCGATGTTTCCATTCTTGGTCGCCTCCCATTTCATGGCATTTGTTGATGACTGGCGGCGAAGAGCTTGACGCACTCGATGCTTCCAAACAGAGAATTTGTCCTAACACCAACTCATGCTTATCGGTTTCATACCTGAAATTAAAGAATTGTTCATAACTCTGCACAGAATACATGTAGACTATGGCTTGATCCGATTTTATCGCAGAATTTTCTCCATAAAAATAGATGTTTCTTGAAGTATCCACGAGAAAAAATTGATGAAATACGTACCAAACTTGACTTTTAACTCGTAAGCACGGTGAAAGTATGATGTTTGTGTTACGTTTCCAAAAACCATTGTCTTTCTCACCACTAGCCGACAAGCAAAGGCTACTATTCGTCAGGCGGATCATGTAATTATCGGTATAATTACGTTTCCTAAACCCAAGAAAACACGATTTGAAAAAGAAATTAAAATGGAAAACACAACGAAATGAGCCAATTACTGTCACAACATCGATTCATGCCTTACCTCGAATGCCACGGTTGATAAACTGCTTTCTCCAAATTGTTTGCTTTCTTCGTCTCGCCCGGCACCGCAAGTTGCGGGTACACATTTTGTAAGTACCAGCTAAATGGCTTACAATTCAAGCGTTTTCGTAGTGCAACTCGCTCAGTAACATTTCCATAATCGACTTTTCTTGCGCTGCTTTGCTGTTGTAGGAAATAATCCTGGATGAGGAGAAAAAATGTAAAATCAATGAAAATGTCCACCTCATTTTAAAATATTGTTTGGCCAAAACACTCACAAGGTAGTCATCCATCCAGACATGTGCCATTCGAAGAGAATTTCTGACCATTGTATCGACGCCATCGGTTCCGCTATACGGTCTACGCTTACGAAAAACGTGGCCAATTCTTGAGCAAGGTATAATCTCCAAGCTGCCACCACACTGCCATGCTCGAAATGAGATCTCAAGGTTCTCACCACCCCATATGTCCATGCTGAATTTTGGAAATGCAATGACTTATTAACATTGTCTTTTTTATGAAATGATTCAAGTTCTTCATGCCGATATAACTAATCATGAATAGTGGAAATCGAAGAGAGAAAAGATAAAATCGTGAAGAAGTTCTGAATCTCACCCTAAATCATATTCGCCAAGTTCAGTGAAATAAAGCCGATCAATGGCAAAAAGTCCACCGGCCATCGTAGGCGATTTAAATGGGCCGAGAAAATCGGCATCTTTTACCAAGGTACCTTCTGGCAATTGATCCCATTTGAAATGCAGTCCCCAATTGAATCCACCTCTCACCTGAATCGGATAATATTTTGATATTTTTATTTGTTGAACAATTTTTCAATATATTTTTTCAGAAAATTACCAATGGACTCGGTCTATAAACGAACGTATCCGGATTGATGATGTCAATGACTGGAATGGCCAGTACTCGACGATCGTCTTTAATACGATACAACAGTGGTTCAACATAATTTGTATTACACTCGATATGGCTATCCAAAAATAGTAATACATCTCCTTTTGCCTTGCGTGCTCCATACACCCGCGATCGAATGAGACCTTCTCGCTTATCATTTCGAATAATTCGTATTTTATCTGCGCTCAACACTTCAATTTCGCTGTCTAATTTCGCCTTCAAATCTTCCGAATCGCTGAAATCATCGACTAAAATAATTTCAGTTAGCAAATGCGACGGAGTTCGATCCAGTACAGATTTGATTGAACGCAACAAAGTCACGATGTGTTCATTGTAGAAACAAATAATAATTGATACGGTTGGGAGATTTTTGACCGGATAATTCTCTTTTTCACATCTGAAAATATGAATAATTAAATTGAATTTGTTTGAATTGCCATGAAGTCGATGGACGATTACAATTTGTTTCGTGTGTCGGGAATATTTCTTGTTAGCCCAATTTTTGAGCTGACGAGAATGTTGAACGCATGTCGCTTGTAGCCGATATCACGCAAATACTGTTCCTCGACGTTTTTCACCATACCGAATTCATCTTGGGATCGAATTAGAGTAGAAAGAAATCAGTCAAAAGTATGGTACAATTTTGTCAATAAGAATGAATCACAGCTATATGCCATTCACCTGGGCCACCATTCTCTTCGATCGGCTTCAATTCATCCATCAACCGTTGACTAATCTTCCGCAATTTCTTCTCTTTTTTGAACTTTTTAAACAGATGGTCCTTCTGTTCTTGTACTCGCCGTGATTTTTCGTCATCGTTCAATTGGTTCAGTCCAATTTGTGTATGCTTTAAAGCTACATATTGCTGTGAATCTTGGCTAGGAGACCATGAGAAATTGCTGCGTGAAACTTCCGATGAATTTTTCGTAAGCAGCCAATACAAATACAAACTGAAACACCAAGTGGTCGATGCAACAATTATACCAAAAACAAACGACCGATTCATCTTTCTGCTTAACATCGGATCGTTCGGTGTTGCTTTGCAATCTTATCTCATTATTTCAAATTATGATTAATATTTTTTAAAAAGGTGTAGAATGAATGACTATTTTGTTTTTGAAAAATAAAGAAAAAATGTTCAAAAAGAAGAAAAAAACAACAACAGACGAGTACAAAAACACGGAAGCACCAATTAGTTGGCTATCAGCGAGGTTGTGTCATTAAACAATTGAGAGCTGTCAAAGTGCTCGTTTTTTTAGTACAGACACCCGTGTGCACAGAATCGTTTACGACTTGTGTATTGGTATTAGTATTGGTACCTAATATAAGCTGTGTGTATCAAGCTACTGTCTATAAAATAAGCGAAGTTTAGTTTTCTTTTTTGCACTGTGATTATACATATATTTATTTTGGTTTTAATATTCATTTTAAAACTCTAAAAATGTCAAACAAAAAAAAAGATCTGCAAAAAGATTTTTCTTTGGGTGGGAATAACGAAGAAAACACCAACAACGATAAAGCAAATCAGTGTGAGCCATCTACGTCGAAACACAATGAAAATCCATGTCAGCCATGCTTGCCCTCCGATCAAAACTGAACTCATATTGAGTCTCTATTTGTTAAAATCAAACCACAAAACAAGAAACAAAAAAATCCATTTTTTCAAAGAATGTTTTTTGTAATCAATAATGCAACCGAAGAAAGACGCATTCAATTCAATAGTTCAAGTTCATGAAATCGCAATAAAATAAGTTTATTCTAATTTTAGCACCTAAATACTGTAAATTCTTGTATAAAGAAAATAAAATTATTTGTTGAATCAGAATGAGAGAGTGTTTTTCAACTTTTATTCAACTAATTTCATCATCATTGTAGTACAGATACACATTTCAATCGAATGTCATCGACTCGTTGCATTTTGCCACATCGAATGGTGGGCTATCCCCGCCGCCTCCACCACAACCGTTAATTGCGGCAAATTCAACAATACCAACAAAATCTGCTTTGGAAGTGAATCCATATTTGAGTCGTAACATCTTGCCGCTTTCATCGAAAAGTGAATCTGAATTGAGTCCACGACGACCGAGCCCATTTACATTGCAATTCATAAATTGTACAAAGTCATTCATCAGATTTTGCTGTTGCGACTGAACCACACCGAAGTATCATGCTTGAAAACGCTCATACTATTTCGACCCGGTGAGTGCATTGCATGTGCTTATAGTACTACGATAGCTACCGGTTCATGAAGATATAATACAGTAAGCGGAGCTTGTTTTCACTCTTGTCGCTCCCACTGTCGCGTATTTTCTGACTTTTTGAATGTGGAAAATATTTACTATGTAACAAATATTTTTAACTATTAAAATCGATTTCTAGACTGTGTTGGCTTAACGTCTACCTGCGAAATTGCCATGCTCCAAGATGAATTGTTGAAATTGCTCGCCGAGTCGAGTGGCGGTGCCACTCGCATGGGCCATATTTTATTAACACTGCCATACATACGAGCAGCGGCCGATCGAAAGATTATTCAGGTCGGTATCGCAAAATCGATGTAGTTTTTCCAACTCTTTTTTATACACGCATCGATTTTCCAGCCAACGCCGTCAGATATCCTATCAATGAATAAATTTTTGTTGGGAGCTGTTACATGGAATTACACTAGGGTGTTCAGCTAATCTGAAAAAGAAGAATGAATAGCATAAATTTAAAGAGAAGCCAATTTTATGTCAAGATCGCTTAATAAACGAAGAAAAACGACACGCAGCACTCTAGGCGAGGGACACTCAAAACAGTCACCGTACATATATTGAGTGCGATTGTGTAAACGACAATGTTCGTGTTCAATATGTGTACGATGACAGCTTCGAGCATTCCACGCGTAGAGGCGTCTTGGCGTCTTACGTCAAATCTTTCCCATGTATTTGTATACGAAGAAAGCGATCTTGTTTATGTCAACTGGTAGCATTAATAGAGCGTTATACAACACTTCCAGAAGAAAAAAAAAACTCTTTGCAAAATCGAATAATGCTTACCTAAACGACCCACTAGAGTACTCCTGCGCAGTTAACATCAACCAGATGGGGAGTCAACTTGCTTCAACGCAACTATCCCACATGATCGGGATAGCCTTTAATAACTAATGTTACATTTGTTTTTTGTTTGTTTGCAATGTGCTGATTAGACAGCATGATCAGCTGGCTGCTGGTCGTACTCGAACATTTCTACATCATTATCCACGATGGCGACAGCAACAGCGGCTGCTTCAGCGGTTGCTCTAGCGGCAGCAGCAGCGGCTGCTTCAGCAGCTTCGCGCCAATACCTATTGATCGCCTCTGGTATCGGAAGTCCCAGTAATGTCCATAGTCCTGAACAATTAAACAAATGAACCTTCTTAAAAAATCATTCAATCGAAATTGTGCGTCAATTAGTCTTACCTTTCAGTAGAATGTTCTTTGCAGCCACGACGTCACGATGCCAAATCACAGAGCATTCGAGGTTTAATCGCCAGTTTTTGTAGTAACATTTTACTTTTGGGAATAAACGCTCGTCTCCTACCAATGCTTCTTCGTTCATGGCGCGTTGCAACTGTCGGTAGATCGATAGATCCGTTTTGCCCAACTTTGACACAATTTTCGTTGGCAGCAATGTTCTGGCGTCGGGTACGCATCGGCATTTCTTGAATCTGGCCGCTTTGTTCTGGTTTTGGAATCGATTCATACATCTTGCGTCTGTTTGAGATGTTCCCCATTCGTCCACCAATTGTATGAAACAATCTCGGCGCTTCTTTATTGACCTCAAAGTCAAACGAACCCCTGGGCAGCGCACGTGCTTCTTGATACTTATTGGGCTATCAGGTGGTATTTCGCCATCAGCACCAAAAAAGAACAGAGTCGGTTTCTTATCGGTCACCTTATTCACCCATTCGTCGACAACACTACTGCTCTTGATGTGTTTGTCCAAGGCGAGTCGAGTGTATTTGGCAGTCGAGTAAGCGCAGATTCCATGCTTCATCATCTTGACTTGGTGTTTGATGTAGTTCAGCCACATTGACCCTTTTGGCGACGGCATCACTGGATACAGCTCACGATTTTCTCTGTCTGCGCGCTCCATTTCGACGAAATGTTTGGTCCATCGCTTTGCTTTGGCATTTCGCACCTTTTGACCTGTTTGCTAGTGGAATTGCTTGCTCGACATTACAAAGTTGGTCTGAAAAAATAAATAGAAAAAAAGGTATAGTTATTGAGTTTTGGCACTTAAGCATTTTCTATTAAAATACACACAACTTATTCAAATGTATTCAAAACTTACTTCTTTGCCAGTTTCAATGTCGTGTGTTGTTGTGGTATTCCAACTTCGCACACCTGAATCAACGCCCGAATAATTTTTAATTGTGCCATCCTCAATCTTCTGAATGATGCGAGATTTTTGGTCGATTTCTTTGTTAACTGTCTTCTTTTTGGCCGAGTACTGGAGAGACACAGAGATTCCATCGGTGTTTATGGAAAAGTCAAACTGCTTTTTGCCACGTACGAATCGTCGAATTTTTCGCATGTAAAAATACTGATTCCACCAATAATCTCTGTCCCGATTGAAATCCTTTGCTGGAATAATTGTTGTACTTGTTGTTCCTTTTTTATTCTCAATTTCCACTTTCGGCAACAATTTTTGCGAAGACAACACCTGTCGCATGGATGTACAATCGATTCTGAAGTGCGTATGCCGGAAATCACACATCGGCACCACTACTAAATTCCGAATCAATGGCCGAAAATCTGGGTTGTCGAGCATTTGGCTGCGCTTGCGTTTCCATTTTCCTTTTGTCTTTTTTCGCTTTCTTTTCTTACGTTTGGGTCGGCGCTGATGTGGCCACTCCGAATTGTACTCTTCTATCTCGCGCTGCATAGATAGGTACATTGGCATGGCCTTAAACCAATGTTGTTTGCCAGTCGTGAGGTCATGCAGATCGATATCTGGGAACACATTCAGGTCGTTCACCATGTCATACAACACGCTACACCGTTCGAGTTTGTTTGGATCCCGAATTGGCACTTTGACGTCTTTTTGTTTGATGATCAGATTCACAACACTTGCGATGTCACTTGGCAAAAATTTCTCTGCATCATCTCCTACGTCTGAGTTCCATTGGAAAACCTTCAGTTTCAAGTACTGGGTGATGTGTTTGTTAGCATGCGTTGTTAAATTGGTGACGACGTTATCTGTGTACTGATTTGTCAAATGCTTAAGGCCATTGCTGAAATCTTTGTTGTTGGGCCAATCGATACGATGATAGTCGTCAAGACCTTCGACAATTGCTTTGAATTCAGGATCGATACGTGGCAGCTCTGCTCGTGGTCCTCGTGGCTTTGTTCCGCTTGGTTTATACCTTGACTTCGGTTTTGGTGGCTGATTGTTGTGCCATAGCACTTGTTCGAAGCAGAGTTTGATCTTATCTTCTCCACTTCCACCAAACAATGCGAAATTATTGTTCTCGACGCCTATATTCGAATGCCTTTTGCACCTCAAACAAGAACAGCAATGAGCCCAAAACACAAATGGAAGTGGCTTGCAAGCTCAGATCCGTTATTTTGCTCATCAATGCTTGCTGGTATTGTGGGCGAATGATTGTCTTTAGCGCACATTTGATCGTCGTAATTTCATCTTTCGTCTCTCCCTCCGCTGGTATTGATGGCTTGAAACGATTCGCCATTGTCCTACTGAAAGAAAAAAAACACACATTCGATTTAGTTTGAAAACGAATAATATTGAAACTTAAATTCGATTTAGTTTGAAAATGACAACAGAATGAGACACACAAAAATGACTTCGGTTTGATAACAATGGCATTGATTCAATTTGAGTTCGAACAGTAATCGATTAACTGTTTCTCTTCTCCGAACAATGGACTCAATTCATTGCATAAAATGAATTTCACCATCACACGTATTTCACCATCACATGTAACAGAACTATGTACTGCAGAATTATTGTGAAATTCATTACTTTTTTTCATGGAATCTAATATTACTGTTGATATTTTCAATATATTTCACGTTATAAATGCTTATATTACGTTTTTAAAATGAATTCCACAATAAGAAGAAGAGATTGAAATGATCAAGTTTACTTACACTTTGGCGACTTGAATTCAATGTGAACTCCGGATCAAATCGATACAAAACGCACGTAAATCGAAAATAATACGAAATGAAATACCAGCAAAATCGTAGATAAATTAAATTGCAGTGTGAATTTCCAGTTTAAATTCTAAGATAAAATGTAAGAGTTTCAATTTGTTGACTTGGTGTTCACAACGCTGTATGTTTTCTCGGAATGAATGATGCGGCGTCTGTGAGATTTCGAAAACTGCTGAAGTGAATGTCAAATGTCATAAGGATCGGTTCACATTGCCAATTTTTAGAACATTAGACAATTTGAGCTACAAAGAGTCAATTAGTACTAACACATAAAAACGGTTATATTTCGGTGAAATTCCAAATTTATTAGCAATGAAGGACGATTTATTGTTTGATTCCGATTTTTTGGGCCGAAATCTACGTAGAAATCATATATTCTTATTTGACTCCCCAAACCTGAACACCCTAAATTACACTTTTATTCAGAACTTGATATAGAAATTTCGATGAAAGATTCATCAGTACGCCTATTCAGATTGCTTTTGACACGATTTTCGATGCTTCAATGTTTCGATAGATGTCAAATAGAGGTCTTTTTTACAACTTGGAGAATTAAACAGTTTGGTGTTGCTGCTCTGTGGGCGGTCGTTCATTTTTTGCTCAACTACTTCACCTTGATTGCTTGAATCATCAAATTTGGGCTGCGGCTTACATACTGAAAGAAAAATATTTATAAATTTTGTTTGCTTTTTACTCAATCTCGCGTCAATGTCATACCATTCATGTGCTGTAGTTTTTGAATTCCCGTCATATTAAAGCTAAATTCACAATTTGGACATTTCCACTCGGTCATTACAATCATATCAGCTATTTCAAGTCTCCAATCCATCTCTCGAACACTAAATTAATGCACGAAAACAAAAAGTTTTATATTGTAATCCACATAAGCTTTAATGATGTGTGATCGATAGTGTCTGTGATACTTACGAAGCATATAAAATATTTTCCGTGATATAAATGCCTCCTTTCACATCGTTTGGTGTACATTCGAACTCTGCGGCAAATGGATTTGGAATGAATTGCGACAGCAGCTCATTGTAATCGTCCGTTGGTCCAACGTACAATGTCTGAAAATGAAGCTTATTCATTTCCCGAGTTAATACGATCTCCCTCTCTTATTTTGTTACTATCTTATGTCCTAAATATCACACATTAGGAAGACTTACCTTTAAATCAGCGGGCAGAAGTCGTTTGAGTGTATACAGAATTTCACTATTCAATGAATAGTATTCATGTAAGCGGCTAAATTCGACTATAATTCATTTTCCAATATTTTTGAGTCTTCTTCGAATTTGTCGCTTGCCAATTCCGATTCGACGCTTTTGGTCAACGATTCTAATTGGTTTGCTAGCAATTTATTCCATGTTCGACGTAAATTCGATGCTTTGTACAGCAGACTTTGGCCAGATTCTGGTTGGGGGAAGTCCAAATATAGCCATGAATCACAAATTATCCTGCAATTTTGAATGGGATTTCATTGTTTGTTTTTATTTATTTCTCTCAATCATGACATTTGATTAAATTTGAAATTTTACTTGGAAAATGTGGAATTCGTATCAATGCTATGAGCAAATGTGCAGCGGGCATCCGTAAAGTATTCATTAGATATGGTTTTACTGTTTCCAACCACGACCTATAAAGTAAATCAATCGATTTAAATAAGGCATTTCATCGAAAAATAACTTACAAATAACAAAGTAACTGATGCCTTGAACTTAACGGTAGCTTAGTGCGATGATTCCCAAACGGTTCAGTAATCTCTGGTTGTGTTAGTTGCAAGATTTGTGAATTGTTGGCAAAATAGCTCATAAGATGATGTAAATGGTTTGATGTAAATGGTTTTGCCTTGACCAGGAGCTTAGTGAAAAAATAGAATTTTGGGAAAGATTCATGAAGAAAAATGAATTTACTACATAAAACTATAAAAATTGTTGTACTCAACCAACCTTCATTTGATTCTATTCGTCGGGAAAGGCCACTTGTGGATACAAGGCACTGACTAAAATCAATTTCAGAGTTATCAAGTCTCAGTAGCTACACGCCACCGCACCACTTACTAAAGCCTAGTTATGTGAGGAATATTGAAAATAATATTTAAAAAACAGTCGTACAAAAGAATTTTTCCAGAGAAATTTCATCCACAGCTTTTTACTCACATCAATTTTCGAAGCGTCGTTCGAAAGACGAAAGTCAACATCACGTATATCGACCGAACCATCGTCCTCATCTTCATTTTCAATCGTATACTGATTCATTTTCAGTTTACGTCTCTTTGGTGCCTCGATTTTGTGCTCACGTCGCATTTGTTTTAGCTGTCGAAGTTCACCTTTTCGTATGATTCTTTCACTGGCACTCATTTCGCCGTCGTTTTCAATGCTCAATAATTCTGTCCTTCAGCAGATCTTCGAATTGTCTTCGCAATTTGGTGATTTCATAGAAACGTTGCTCTTCTAAATCTCGTCGCCGACACCACTGCTTTGTACTCCCAATTTACTTTTCCGTACACAACGTGTCAAGGGAAAGTATAGGAATTGGTCCCGAAAACTTTTTTCGCAAAATTAGCTTAGATCATCATAAAAACTCATGAAACGCGTAGAAAACTTTTTGACACTTTTCCGTTCGTGTGCCGTCGTCGTTGTCGTTGTCGTTGTCGTTGTCGTTGTCGTAGCTGTTTGTTAACACGATAACTCAAAAAATAATTGAGATAATCAAAATCTGGAAATGCCAAAAGTTTTTTATCCGAAAAACTTAGTTTAAGTCCGAAGATGAGCCATTTTCGATTTAACCCTGGGGTACTTGCCCTAAGAAAAACCTAAAAAATTGACACTTTTGTATGGGAGGTACCTGTAAATCGACTCCGATTGGCTTCAAACTTTCTGGGATTTCATTTTTTGGGAGAAAAATTAGATTGAAGAATACGTTAACGATTTTTTGTCCTCAATTTTTTTCGAAATTTTCTTGGAAAAAATTGAGGGCCAAAAACCAAACTTCTACAAATGCGATCAACATGAAACTTTCAGAATCTTATTTTTTCTCCCAAAAAATAAAACCTCAGAAAGTTTAAAGCCAATGAGAATCGGTTTACGGGTACCCTAGGGGAATTTATCATTCAAAAATCCATGAATTCCGGTGTGTTTTGAGCTATATTCAGAATATCCACTCATATTCACAGATATTCAGTCTTTCTTATTTGACAGTTCAGGCGTTCTCATCAGCCGCCATCTTGAATTCGTCGCCATCTTGAAAATTTTATTCAAAATATTCACAAAATTCACAAAAACCAAATCATTAAAATTCACAACATTCACATATAATCGAAATTTTGACGATGATTCAATGAGAAAAATATCCACAATATTCACAAATATTCACATTTCTCAAGCCTTGAATGAAACCCCTAGCGGGTACCTCTCATACAAAATTGTCGAAGTTTTAGTTAGTGTGACCGACTTCTCACTTTATTTTCATTATTATATTTTCACTGCCTTTATTTCAAGAAAATTCACAAAAAATAACCAAAAGTACCTTCGGACAACGCAGGCCAACGGTACGGAAAAGTTCGGGATTACCAATGTAATTCTTTTTATTTGCGATTAAATTGGCCTCGTTTCAGCTCAAGCCATTCCCTGTAAGCATTCAAAACTGTTAGTGGATCACCATGATCCCATTCCAAGTCCTTGCGGGCTGTCTGTAAAGAAGCGTTTGAGTTTTATTTCTATTTTCAAATTAATTAAGGCAGAACATACTTCACATTCATGATCTCGATATGCTCGATTGGTGAAGGGTGTTTGAACGCTCAAAGCAGCGGCAAGTGTGAGCACCGGTTACTTGTTGGAATACACAGCCCATCAAAAGAATTTTCCCAATTGAAATTCCAACAGAGTCTTGACAGAGCCCGACCAAGTGCCGTGATTTTTTTATTGGCGGTTAGAGCATCCTAGAAGCAGATAAGTTTAACCAAATTCAATAATTTTTCCATCACTGAAGCAATTCTACTATCGTATGATGAATAATTTTCAAATTTCTATCACTTACATGTTTCTTCAGCGAAAGCAATCCATTTTCAATGGAATCTGCTGCCGGTGGCTCAATGAATGGAAACAGTAGAGCGTCTGGCAGACCCTTTGATATCATTTGAAGTAGCAACGATTCCAATGGTACCCGGGCTGGAATTCTAAGACATTCCACCAAAATCGTGCGGAATTATTTTTTTTGTACGTAACACTATATTGGAGTGAAAGAGAGAGATTCCACTAATTTTCTGGATACCGCCGGAATTATTAAGATAACTCAAGGAAAAGTGATAGTTATCGGAATAATTCCGGCGTCGATCAGGATCTCTATCATTCTTCTTTTCCTTCGATTTGTGTTTATGTTTCTATCGCTCATGTTGCCTTTGATTTCAATCACTCATCATCTTCTCTAACCATTCTGAAAGCACAGAAACAAAACTATTTTTATTAAAGTAAAAACAAACATCAACGTATTCAGCATGGCTTAAATCTAATTTATTGCATAAATACTTCGACGGGTTACATCATTCAGTTGTACCTAACTTTGGTTTAATAAAAAGAGAATCTTAAGTCCATGGCAAAAAATTACTAAATAAAACGGTTCCAATAACAAAATAACCGAGGAACCAAGCCTTGATGAATTTGGTGCTGTGCGATTTGGGCTGTAGAAATGCTTTGAATGAATTTTGATGATGCTCTTTCTGGAAGTGCTGCGCGCATATCCAGTAAATATACGGTGATGATGAGGCTAGCATTCGTGTCGACACTTGAATATGAACGAAGAGTAAGCAAAAAATGCTCAGAACAAGTGCATGAATTACGTATACAAATTGACTTGATTTTTCTGCGTTTTCTTTTGTGTGAATCAATCCAAGACGCATTGCAATTATTGGATTTTCAATTAAAAATCGAACTGCGTCCGATATTATCATGACTAAAATTGGTGCGGCGAGTAGAAAATTGGGAATTTGTTTAAATTCGTAGTATTTCAGAAACCCGACATTCCAATAGTACGCCTGCAGGTAAGAGTATGAAAATGGCACCGCAAATGAGCACCACTGCGGTTTTTGGTGTCCAGCCAAAAGGAAATTATTCTTGTTCCCATAGTTTAGCACTGCTTCGTTCATTTCCAATGGATTTCCTTCACAATAGAGTGAAAAGTAGTACGCTTGAACGATTACAAATGCAATGCCAGCCACAATGGCACAGGATAATACTTTGAAAAATCCCTTGAGAAAATGTATCCAATTCGTGGTTCCCTTGGACCAAATATCTCGCGTTACATAATACAAAATGAAGCCGAAATTCAACAAGCCATTGGATCGACACCATAAACTCAATGCAAGTGGCAAAATTGCATCTCGAATTTCATTCCGCGCACAATGTAGCATAACGCTGAAGCTTAACCAACAGAACAAACTCTCCGTGTATGGAGCGCTGAAGAAAATCGATGCTGGATTGATACAGAATAATGTTGCCACGATACGAGCCAAACGATAGTTGTTGAACGTTTCAATGGTAAGTTGATGAAGAACTAGAGCGGCTTTTACAAAGAAAATCACGTTCAGCACAACGGCAACAACGAGGCTTAAGTCACGGAATTCACATTCAATGCCAAGAATCGTGTGGGCAATGTTGGTTATGTATCGCACACAAAACGGGAACAGTGGATAAAAAACGAGCGTATTTTCGTAGGTGTATCCATGTTCAGCAATGTGTAGAAAATACTCAGCATCCCATCGTCTGAAACCGCCGAAAATTGTGTCAATTATTGAATGGCAGGTGGATGATCCATTTAATGGCGGTGTGAGTGGAGATACAAACACTTTTGCATCATGATCGGGGAAGAATAAATTCGAAAATGATTGCAGTATGATTATCAAAACCCGCGAAAGGATCGCCAACCAGATGACCAGCTTACTGTCTGTCATCTCGCCGGAATTTATCTTTATCGCTTTTTAAGTTGATCAACCAGTTATCCACATCTTTTGCGAATGAGTAATATCTAGAAATATATGTCAAACAGATGAATTATAGTGGAAATTCTATTTTTGAAAAGAAATTGCTTTTTTTACCTGAATTTGTGTTAGCAAACGTAAACACACTGTTCATGCGGTCTAACAAAGTGTAACTTCTGACATTTCTAAAACCACTTTTGATTTGAGAGGATTAGACGCACTTAGAGAGAGAGCATCTACAAATTTAGTACGGAGCCAATTTTAGTACAGAATAAAAACGTTTTCATTGAAAGCACAAAATTTATTCAAATACATTAATTTAAAATAACTTTTTTTTCTGTTTTAGTGCCAAAATAAGTTGAGAATAAAAATTTACACTGGAAAAAAATGTAATTACATATCATCACTCATAGAAATAAATTGATAAATAAAATTGTTGTTTCTAGAAGTTTTTATTAAATTCTATCTTTTTCTAATACAAAATATATAAAACTCATTGTGTGTGTATGTGTGCGTTTGTCCTATTTTTTTTTATTTTCATGATTTTTTAATTCTTGGTTTTAATGGTGAATATGTCGTTAGAATTCTCGCGGCTTAAATAGCAGATTCACATATCAGTTCGAATTAAATTTTCAAAAGTTTGAAGAAACAATTTTTTTAATTGTTTTTCGATACAACGTACATTAATGTGGATTGATGGCAATGAAATATTGGTTTTGGAACAGAGTTGAACATGGACACCATCTCGGTCCATCATGGTCATGTTAACACGACT